TTGCAAAGGTAACAGTCAGTTCCCTACCCACGCATGGCCACTGCTCTTGCAACAGTAACAGGTCCCTACCCACGCTTGCAACAGTAACAGTCAGGTCCCTACCCTACCCACGCTTGCAACAGTAACAGTCAGGTCCCTACCCGCTCGTGGAGCCCTGGCCCCTCCTGCTGTCGGCGCCCCATCAGACAGAGCCCTTCCTCGGAAGCCTCCCTGAGGACCGTCTCGCTTCCATCTCCACACTTAATAACGGCTGACACTACGTGTTGTTCGAGGGAGAGCTACTAATTAGTATGAGTTTTGTCTTTTAAAAAATAAAGCTCAGGTCATTTAAAAAAAAAGTGCCTGACATTCCAGTATGCCTATAAAAATTCTGTGAATCTGCACCAAGTGGCCCTCCTTCCCCGACTGGGGACACAGGCAGCAAGAACGGACGGACCAGGGCTGGACGCCCGCCTCCAGTGCGCGGTCCCTGCTGCTGTCAGCCTGGTCGTCCCATGCCTTTGTCCCAAGTCCGCTGTGTGGAGCTCCACCCAGCTCACAGGGACGACAGTGGTGGCTGCACAGGTTACCTGGCGTGTGCCAGGTCTCCGTGGCTCCACATGTGGCCATGCGCTGCCTCCTGGACAGGCGCTGTCGGCCTCTGGCCCAGCCTCCAGCGTGGTGGCCCCAGCCTGCGCTGCGGAGCCGGGAGCGCTCCTTGCCTGTTGGGCCTCAGGAGACGTTGCTGTCGCACGCACGTTGCGGAGAGACAGCAGAGGAGGCTCTGCCCGAGTTCAGGAGCCAGAGGCCCATTCTTCCTCTTCCGTTACTGTCCTCAGGCACAGCTTTGTCTGCATAAAATCGCTACGTGTGACAAGACAGGAGCCCAGAAATGACCTTTCTCGCTGGGCGAACGCAGTCCGTGAGATGCTGAGTGAGCATGGACGGCGTGAGCACGCCAGTCATCAGGCTGGGCCACCTCGGGTGCTCACCCCTGCTCCACCTGCCACTCAAGGACGGCTGGCTCCCGGGGGCGGGACCTGGCTGGCTGGCAGGGGGCGAGGCCGCGGCGCAGGAGGGCCAGGCCAGGGGCACGCTCTGTGGTGGCAGGTCCCGATGGGTCCCAGAGAAGGGAAGCAGGGCGTGGGCAGGGGCGGGCTGGTCTCCACGCGGGTGCTCACTGCCGCTGCCCAGTGGAGGAAGACCCTGCCAGATGTGTCAGGAGTCTAGCGGGGCTGATTCTCTCTAGACTAAATCCATTTTGCTTTCAGTCCCTGCCTGGCCAGACTTCCCGTCCTCGTCTTTAAGCTGGGCAGCTGGACACGGGACAGGAAGCGCCGGCCGTGTGACCTTGACTCACTATCCCTCGTGTTTGCTCGGCTCCGTGGCGCGGCCAGAGCCAGGGCTGGGCAGTTACTGCGTCTCACCCTTGCACGTGTCGAGAGCAAAGTTCCTGGGAGAGCTGGGGGCTCGTGTCAGGGCTGCGGGCCAGTTACCCAGGCTTAGTCACTCCAGTGAGCAGGATCACTTCCCATATTCCAAGGCATTCACTTAGCATTTTCACACCGCGGATTTTATATTCCTAATTGATGCGTACGTGGTATTTTAATTACATTACCTCTAAAATGTACTTCCAGTGGGAACTGCTTATCCTTATTGTAAGTGGGAAGCATGATCATCTTTCACAGATGCAAGGTAGTTACTGAAATACAATTAACCAAAAGCGAGTCTGGGTTACGTCCAGGCAGATCTGGCTGCAAGGCGGAGCCCCGGTCTAATGCCGGGTCTCTCTGTCCTGAGGACTGGCACGCTGCAAGTTCAGGGAGCCCTGAGTGACAGCGCCACACGGTACTTAGCCCTGCATGTGATCAGGAAAACCCAGAGAGGGGAAATGCAGAAATCCCCGCCACACACCTCAACACTCCCGCGGGCGGCGGCGTCCCGGGACTGTTATCCACCCCGTGTCCAGGCTCACTCCCTCCCCCAGGAGGCAGGGCTGTCGCAGGCTACACGGCGTTTAAGGAATAAACAAACGGCCATCAGGACGGCCGCTGATCAGCTCTGTGGCGCCTACAACTCCACCCAGACTGTGATAACGTGCGCACACAGCTCCTCGTCCCCGCTGGCCCCGGAGCCTGCCCGCTGCACAGTGCCAGCGCCGCGCTGGATTCGGTTTCAAGTTCATTGCATCTCTAACGTGAGTCCCTAACGGCGTCTTTCTGGTGCGTCTGTAATGAGCAGATCCTCGGGAAACGTGGGGACAGCGCACTTTCCCAGACGTCCCGAGCCATAAATCGCTACATCCTCGCGGTTCTCACTGGGAGCCTTCCTCTCGCTTCCTACTGTGTCCACATTCTCGAGAACGCGCGGACCTCTCGGGGTGGGCAGCAGTCACACCTGACCGTCCCTGTCCCGGGCCGCACCCCCGGCTCCGCTAGGGGAGACACAGGCACGCGTGGGCGTCGGCTCCGGGCGCGGGGCAGCCCCGCACAGGGTCTCGGGCTGTGGAGTGGGGGCAGCGCCCCGGGGGACCGGCCAGGTCTAAAAATAGACCCAGGCCTTAGAGGGCGGGGTGCAACCCGTTACCGCGTGGCGGTGCGCGTGTCGGCTCCGGCGGGTGCACACGGGCCGGGGCACACTTGCTAGGGCTGCAAGGATCCTGGGTGAAGCTTCGAGGACACGCGAGCCCGGGGTCACGAGGGGTGGGCCGGCCGCGGAGGCAGAGCCCCTGCTTGTGCGAAGACGGCGGCGCTGCCCACGCACCCCCCGCCCCCGCTCGCGCCGAAGGAAAGAGCCTTGGAGGGTCCCGCGGGGCAGAGGGCGCGGGGCGGGCCCGCCGAGGGGACGCCGAGGACAATGGTAGCAGACGCGGTGGGGCTGCAGGGTGAGGCATGGCGCGGTGACACACGGGAGGGACGCACAGGATTGAGTCAAGACCACAGACACAGCCAGGGACAGACAGCAGGCGGCGGCAAACATACTCTGGGCAGGGCCGGCTCGGCGTCGCGGGAACTTCCACGCCAGAGTATATTTGGAGCACACGAATGTCACAGTCCACGTGACAAGGGCGCCGCCCGCCGCAGGCCCTCGGGGCACCCGCGCATCCGGGACCTGCGGCGCGGGCGGATGTGACATCATCACGGCACCAGGGGCAGGGAGTGGCGGGAAGCGAGGGCGTCAGGGATTGGTTCAAGTCAGGGGGGCGGTGTCATGAGTCAGGAAAGGGGCGGGGCTTTTCCAGATCACATCACACAGTGCCGGGGTGGGGTGGGGGGCGGGCGAAGGAAACAGAACGCGTGGGAAAAATCATGAGGTTCAACAGAAAAACAAGGCAGCAAATGGAAATCAAAATCATAAAAAGGCATGGTCGAAACAACAGGAAGCTCGATCCTTTGCGAAGATTTCCGCACAGTGCTCGTTGGCGTTGCCGCGTCAGCCGTGGCGTCACGCGTGGCCAGCAGCGCAGCTGGACGGGGCAAGGCAAGGAGCTGGGGCACGACAGTGGTCATGGGGAACGCCCGTGCAGCCACCTCTGCCACCATTGCCTGACACGTGACTGCTTCCAGCCCGCCAAGGCCGGTGCCAGGCTCTGCGGCGCTGCGTCTCTGGACTATTCCAGAGGCTGCATCCCCACGGGCGCGGCAGCTGGAGACGCTGCGGGCCACCCGCTCCGGGAGGGAGAAGTCCCTGGGAGCCACGGCGCGGGGCTGGCCGGGGGTCGCCACAGCTGGCTTCGCCCCTTGAGAACCGTCAAGATGGCCGTAGCTGAGGTCTGGAGCCACACAGAACAAACAGGGCATCTGCTAGGGCCCGGGGCTTCTCCTCTACCTGGTTCTCTCTCTCGGACAGCTAGGAGCAGGGATCCCTCCCCAAGAGGCCGATGAGACAAAAACTGCTTAAAAAAAAAAAAAAAACCAGATTTGCAGCAGGGTGTGTTCACAGATGGGTAAAGAGTAAAATGAGCTCAAGACGGGACGGAACCGGCTCCGGCCTCACACTTTGGCCCGGCAAGTAGGGCAGCAGGATGTTCGGCGGTCTAAGGAGCCGAGGAGCAAGAAAGGGAGGCGAATTTAGCAGGCGAGGCTGGCCCAAAAACATTCTGCAGAAGTGCAGGCGGGAACGTGGCCACAGGAAGCTCTGGGAGAGAGCGAGCGAGCCAGGGAGCGAGAGCGCGGCTGTCTTGCAGTCTCAAAGCCCAGACTCCTGCTTGGAGGCTCTCTCGAGAACGTGCAGGAGCGAGCAATCCTGAATGGGGCGAAGCAGCACCATAACTGGCCTTGTCAGCCTGGTTTGCAGGCCCGTGTTTGGACAAGGAAAGTCCTCTTCGGTGGCAGCTGCGGCTAGAGTAGGACGTGTTAGCAGAAGCAGCACGTGGCAAGGAAAAGAGGACATTTCCTGCCTGTGGTGCTGAAGAGAAGGCAGGGGGAATTTAGGACAGTCCGCAGCGCAGCCCCTTCCCCCCAGTGTGGCTTCCTGTCCGTTCCCGATGCATGGCAGCTCTGCTCGATGGAGGGACACATTTTTGTTTGAGCTGCGGTCCCCTCGGGTGGTTCCAGTAGGCCTGCAGATGCTGCGCTATTCAAATTCAGCACCACGCGAGGGAGGGCAGCTCCCCGCCAGAAAACACGACCCTGCACTCTCTTCACTGCTTTGCCGCCTGGCAGCCCTGGCTCCCACCTCAGAGCCAGGGGCTGGGGCGCAGAGGAGCCCAAAGCACAGAATGGACCAGAGGGCGGGACTGCCAGGGGCCACGCCTCCCCTGGGTGGAGAGGCTGGGGAGCCCCGCCTCCTTTGGGTGGAAAAGCTCAGCAGATGGCTTTCTGTTTTGTGTGGTTTCTCCGTGGGCAGGGAGTAAGTTAGGCGGAGGCCTCACACAGAGGCTGGGGATGCAGCCTGTTTGGAGCGGTTTGGGTCACCGTGCAGCCCTGAACGGTGCTGGGCTTCGGCTGGAAGCAGTCACATTGTCCTCCCAGCTTCCCCCTCCCTCTCCCCGCAGAGGAAGAGGGATTCCAAGGCCTTACCCTTCTTGTCTTGGTGGTTATGGGAAGACACTGGCCCCAAAGGGTCCGTGCTGCCGGGTGGGTGGTGCAGCTCGGTCCAGTCGGGCACCCCTGCCCTGGACTCGTGGCCCTCTCGAGCCGCCGCGTCGGATGTGGTGCTGGGCAGGGGGGAGCCGGAGCGCCCTGTTCCAGCACAAACACAGTTAGGGGCTGTGTCCTCGCAGACACCAGGCGCTCTGTTCCCCCTCTGTGCCTCTGCTCTGGGCCGGCAGGCGACGCTCACACTGGCCCTGGGGACAGTCAGGCTTAGGGGGTGGGGTGAGCCTGTGGGGACAGTGACCCGTCCCTTTCAGTGCTGGGAGGGCAGAGGGCCCGACGTGGTGGTGTCCCTCTTTGGACGTCCCTGGGTAGCACTGAGGTGGTCTGTGTGCACTCCCAGCCACAGCTTGTCAGTGGTGCGCAGGGTGGTGGCACTGGAGGGGCTGCTCCCTGACTGACAGCTCGGCTGTGGAGAGCCCTCCCATGGGGTTCCCCACGGGGTCAGGGGGTTCCAACTCAAGTGTGCAAGCTTTCCTCTTGCCTGGAGGAGGCACTATTGCCATGTCCCTTCCCCGGCTGGGGCCAGGGTTGGGGGGAACCCCACAGCTGCATTCCCATGGCCCGCCCTTCTGTGTGTGACTGCAATAAACTGAGTTTCACAGTTTTGTGACTCACTTATGCCGGGTTGGTTCCGAGGCCTCACTAACTGACATGACTCAGGTTGGAAGAGGATGGAGCTCTGAGATAGAGTCATCTGCCGCAGGCTAACAGCACAGCATCGGCCACTGCAGGAGTTGGGGCCTCTCCTGTGAGCCCTCCCTGTCGCTGGCCATGTACCAGGTGCTGTCACGATGACTTAAAGGAACCCTGTCACCTGCTCTGGTAGAAGGAAAACATCCTCTCCTATCGCAACCTCTTGGACAATTTATGAAAAAGACACCAGGACATTTGCATGTGTCATGCTTTTTCTTGGCAGAGAGCAGGACACCCAGCCACTAACTGCACCAGCTCCAGCCTCAGGCTGCAGCCCCCTCATCCGTGATATGGGGAACACTGCCCCAGAGATGGGTGACGAGGACCGACATGCTGCGGCTTCTTGTTAAACAATAATTCCTGGAGTTGGACTCCCAGGAGGCGTGAATACCGCAAATTACAGACGCATGTGCAAAAAAGAAAAAATGCTGCTTTTTATCTTTTTAAGATTTTGCTTAGCAGAGAAAAGCAAGCCAAGTGGTTCATCTGGGCTACGATGGCGTCTGTGGAACCAGCGTCCTTAGCGCCAGCACAGAGCTCTGGGACCAATCAAGAGGTCTTCTTCTGCAGGAAACTCATTTGGCTGCACACGGCAGCTTCACATCCCACCACTAGGAACATGCTCATTTAAAATTCCAGGAATGCTGCTTGCTTTTACGTTTCCGGGTTTCGGATCTCATCAAGCTGATAAATGCACAGGGTCAGGAAAATCAGCCGGAGAAATGGAAATGCAGAATTTCCCCCACTTCCCTTCTGCTTGCGTTGACACTTAACCTGTGCTTCCCACTTTTGAATTCAAGATTGTTTTAGTAAAATAGACGGTCTGCCTAAGAGGAAACTCAGCCCCAAGCAAAAGCAGATGATGAGAAATAGCTTTGTATGGAGCTGGGAAGAGAGAGGGAGACCAAAAAACTCCTCCCTTCCAAGTAGCACGAATTTCTTTGACCTGAATTGATAAGCAATTTGAGCACTTTCCATTTAACTGTGTTCCAGGGGCCGATTTTATGGTAATGCCGCAAGTACGGTTTGGGGAGAGCATTTCTTAATACGGTAATCTAGGGGGAATGTGCGCCCCAGGGACACATTCTCTGTAGAAAGATTTCCTGGCCCATATGCTGCGAATGCATGGAAAACTCATTGGTAATGGAAAGCTATGGCTACGAGAGGAAATCGAACGTGGGCCAGATGGTCTAGCGTTAGGTAGGAAATGTCTGAGCAAGCGTGAGAAGCAGACGCTCTCTCCCTATCGCTACAGTTAGTCACGGACCCACCACACCCCCCCTTGGTTATTTGTAAATCTAGAGAAACCATGCATCCAAATTATTTGAAAGCGGAAAAAAAAAAAATGGAGCTGCACGAGGCTTGGGAGCTTTTAAACCTGTGCTTGAGGACAGAGTGCGTGTGCCGGTGGAGCCCGTGGTGAGCTACAAAGAGAAAGCAGCACGTGGGTGTCTGACACTGCGCAACCTGGAGAACAGAACGGAGCAGCGGGCCTCAGCCTGCAGTCAGAGCGAAAATGCTACAAGGAGACCACTTACACTCCCTCTTAGAATCTGATTTTAGAGGGGCCGTTATTTTCATATATTTGTCACCAAAATAATGCCACAAGAGTAGGCCCTCAGCTGTGGAAGTGGTACTGTACGGCAGTAGATTTGGAACCACGTTTTTGTCTTGTCACTCCATTCCGACCAGTGGGACTTACGTTGTAATATTCTTATGAAATATAAATCACTATATTGAAAAAGGTAACATCAGTGCATCATACTGTTTCTCTATATCTACAAGTTAGTGTGATTCCAGAGGTTAGAGAGCCGCCAAACTACTCTATCCTATTAGCAATGACTGTAGCCAATTAGACACACACACAGAGACACTAATCAATACGAGAGAGGAAGAGAGCGGGGACTCATCAGGGCCCAATTCACTAAACGGAGATCTTGTACACGTAACGGGCTGCACCAGCGCCTGTGCCAGGCAGCACGCCTACACGCTCTGTTCTGGAGTGGGCGGTTCTGATTGTGAGGGTCGCCCTGTGGGCCCGCGTGTGGGACACGCACAGGACGCAGAAAGGGAGAGTGTGGCTACCGTGGACTTTGGGATTGGCTTCCTTGTCTGCACGCTGGTCCTGCCTCTGTTCTCACATATCCGGTGCCTAGGCCAGCGCCTGCGTGGAAGAGGCCCCCAGGGAGGTTTTGCTGAATGACTGCTTTTTATCTATTCTGGGTCTGTTAACTCTGAAATAAGCACCTCTTGCAATGGTTTTTGAAAAAAAAGTCTCCTATATTTTTCTAAGTAGTGTCTGGGCCAGCCCTCATCTTGATGGTTAATTAATCATTTAACCGCTCAATACGGAATAGATTGAGCCTGCAGTGGACAGCGGCAGGCCCTGGAAGGCAAGTCTTTTAGCTTCTCACAGAAACCACTGCCTGAGCGCCGAGGACAAATGGGCACCGACCTTGCAGGCGTCCATAGGGGAGAATTAAGAAGGACTTTTCCTTTTGTAAAGGACTGGGACCCACAGCTCAGAGACCGATCTCGCTTCATGAAGCGGACCCTGCGGTTCAAGTATTCTGTGTGTTGGAGAAATGAGCTGGAGAGTGAGCATTGGTCTTAGGACAGTGGACAGCTGCCGGGAGGCTGCTGGTTCAGTGAGATTCAGCACCTGGGTTCTCAGTCTCTGACCAAGATGATGCGGTTATGGGAGAGGATGGCAGAGTGCGACACTGGATAAAGCAGACGCTACGTGCCGTTACCATCCCAAGGGCAGGCCAAGTTCTCCGCCGTGCGCCTCCTGAGCAGTCTTTGTCCCGTCCTTGCTGTTCACTATTCTGGTTTGAATCACGAAAGAGGCCGCGCTGACGGGCACCAGTGCTGTGGGCTGCCCTGCCCCACCTGAGAGCCCGGTCAGGGGAAGCCAGGCACCGCCTCCCTAGCGTGCAGCTCCAGTGTGTAAGACAATCATGAAGACTTTGGGAAGGGCTGTTAATTTCATTTATGCTAATTCTTGCAGGGCGCCAGCATAGACACAGAGCTATTAAACACATTCGGAGCCGTGTCGAACTGTTTCTTATGACCTTGAATCTGAAAAAGGAAAGTTTTCTTCTCCCTCCTTTTCTTCATTTTTTAGCCCTCCTGTATTATATCCTTCTAGGTGAGGGGTCTTCAAAAACATTTGTGGAAAATGCATATTTTGAAAAACCTATGCATGGGTTGCTGAATTTTTTGCATCAAGATAAACTCGCCTTTAGGCTCCACATTTCCCTAGACTTTCTGCAGGCCCTCATGCTTAAAGGCTGTCCCAGAACTGTTGCCGCTTGTGTATCTCAGACAGACAGACAGGACGGTGGCTGTGCAGCAACGAGACGAGTTGTTCCTGTTACCATGCAGAAGCTGGGGTTTGCCATCAGACACACGTTCTGTGCACTCTCTTTAAAGAAACACACGGAGAGGCGGCCCTGGTAAATATCTGGCGGGACTCTGAGATGGCAGTGGAACGGGTGCCCCGCATTTCAGCTGTTGGCACAAAGGTTCAGACTATGCTGTGTATGGCGTCTGGAGCCCTGTTCAGCACAGCACTTGTGTGTTTCAAACCAAGAACAATGGGGCTGGATCCTGTTTGCACATCACTTCCACCACGTCACTCTTCCTTGTATACGTACTGAGGAAATCGCACTGAGAATCTGTCTCCAGATTCATGGGCTTTGTGAGCTTAAATTTCAGTGGCCCATTTCAGAGGAGACAGGGCAATTCTGCCTCATCCGAACTCGTCTCGGCCCCGCGGAGGGTGCTGTGCTGCGGGCCAGGAGTGCTTGTGCCTTGGGCCTAAGCACCATTCTTTTATCTTGGAGGCACCCATGGCTAAAATCCATTTCTTTTCCTTCGAGACCTCATCACATATATTCTCCGCGGTTGGCATATTTCATGTTGCGTGCATTAAAAATTTAGAGCTGAATCGCCCACATCAGCCGTCTCATGCGAGCAGAGTGATTTCTGAGGCATTGTGAAATCTATAAATAATTTTAGTGAATTGGGGCCTCGTGTAACAAAGAACCTGGCCCATGAAGTTTAGGTATTAGAACTACAAACTACCACAGGGTGAGTGACTTGAAGAACTGAGAGAAAATACCCCATAAACTGACCATGCACTGTGTTGTAAGACATTTCATGATCTGGTGGAGGAGTTGAAATGTCTATAAAAAAAAGGATGCGCATCAAAAATTAACTGAAAGAAACGAAAGGTTTGCAAATACTCAAGAGGATTAGTGAGACAGGCTGTCCCAGATGGAACATCAGGAGACCAACGTCCTCCTTACCGTTCAGGGCCACGAAGGAATCTGAAAGACAAGAGGGGAGAAGGTGACTCAGCGCGCGATCCTGTGGGTGCCGCTCACATGCACGACCCCGGAACTGGTGCCTGTGAGCCTACACCCGCCCCGCTCGGTCTCACTTCATGCCTGCCCGTCTTCCACCCAGTGAGTGTCCTCCGATCCACTGCCAAGGGGCAAAGCAGTGGAAGTGAGCAGAGGGAATGCAAACTGGGATTATCAGAGATTCTGGGGATTTCAGCCGAGTTGATACCGAGGGCGACAGGGAGGGATGGGTGTCAGAGAGAGCTCTTTTCTCCTCTCCTTTTACCCTCAAAACCGAGCGGGGAGGGACTTTTGGTCTCAGCAGGGTTTTAGTTTGGAAATTAAACCAACAGCACATGGCCCCTCCTTGCCTCCCACAGACACACGTGGGGCGCCATCCTCCCTCCGTGTCCAGCGCTGCCTTCTGGGAACCCCCATTTCCCCAGTGACCCCGCCCTCTCTGCACACCTGTGTGTGAACAGGTGTGTGCGGCAGCGGCCTGGCCTCCCATCCTGAGCCAGCCTTGGCAGGGCCTCCGCAGGAGTGGGGTTCAGGGTTGTAGACCCATTAGAAAGCACCCAGGCAGGTCTGGGGCTGGACCTTCCAGGCTACCCTGCAGGCAGCGGGGCCTGCTGAGGGTGTCCCCTGGGCCAGACATGCAGGGGCAGCCTCCTGGTATAGTGGAAGCTGTAGAAGGAGGCAGGAATGGCCACCTTCACCTTCGTCACTTTTCCTGATCCCACCCGGATTTACAGCCTCGTCTTTTAATGGGTGCCATACCCCCAGTTCAGGACGATCAGATGAGACTGGTTCCGTAAGGCCTTTCTCTCATCTCTCCACCACACCCCTCATACACACCCTGAAACCTGTCTCAAACGCACCAAGGTGACCCAGGCCACAGATGAGACCTCCAGCTCTCTCACAGAGCAGCCAAGTGCACCCCACACACAGCACATCTGTGGTGGCACTGTCTCCTGTGCTGATGGCTAACTCGTACACTTTGCACGTGAAGACAGAATGAGTTTTTGTTTTTTTGTTTTTTTTTTTTTTTTTTTTTTTTTTTTTTTTTTTTTGCCAAAATACATTTGCAAACAAAACCTACATATGGCAAAGCACTTGAAGGTACTCTGCCCACAGCCCCCCTCAAGTGATGACAACTGATCTTTACAAAGGCATGAGTTGGAGAGTTAGACAGTCGATGACCCCTTGGAAGGAAATTTTGGTCCTCGTGCCTCAAAGACTTAGCGTTACATCCAGGGAATGAGTATCAGCTAAGAGCATGGTCCCATTCTGAAGCAAGCTTCTTGAAGTCCAGTGTGTGAGACACTCAGAATCACAAACCACACGTCTTGCAGGAGTGTGGCATTTTTCTTTGAATTAGCACGAATACAGTATTTTCAAGGAGGTGTGGGTGTTAATCAGGACACAGGACAACTGGGCAGATTTTTGACTATGATCTTTTATATCAAGTTCTAACTAAAAGGTTAACATTTAATAACATTTTAAATGAACCCTGAGATTCACACAGCAGGTTAATTCCTCTGAAAAGGTTACTTTGAATCATTTTGTAACAGTGTGATAGTGCTGAGATTTCTTTTCTATCACAAGTGGTAATGTACATAAATCTAATTTAAAGAAAAATAATTACTCTTCTTGTTGATAAGTTCAGGAAGAATACAGCAGTCTCACTGAATTAAAAAAGCTGGAGTGTAGTGATCAATCTTTTTATTATTTGGCTGGAAATTATAGTGTATAAGAATGTGTTAAGACACAACAATACTGTCATTTTTGTAATGGAAATGCTGATATAACTTACTGTTTGCTCTAATTAATATTCTGTAGAGCGAATCCGCTCCACAGCCTTCAACAATGAGGTAGGTGCCAGCACTCACGGCAACACTGACAGCACTGGCTCGCTCTGTTTCCCTCTCTCCCTCCCTCTCTCTCTCTCTCTCTCACACACACACACACAGCTGGCTTTCTTTGTATGTAGAAGCTGATTTCTATTGTGAATGCGTGTCCCAGTGTCAGCTGCTCTCAGAGCCACATGTGGGCTATTGTTTCTGGGCCACTCGGCAAAAGCATCTGAGCCCCAAGACACAACTGGCAGCAAGCGGCACTTACTGTGACAGTCTCCCAGGCCGTCGGTGTTGCCACGCTCTATGTCCTGCTCGAAAGTCAGTCTGCGAGGGGGGAGAGGGACAGACAGAAACAGATACCGTATGTGAGTCGTGACCGGGAAGGAGCTGCAGTGTCACTAAAGCACACAGTGTGATAGATCGAGTGGCAGGTGCAAACGAGAACTAGACCAGAGTTTGGAACTTCATCCTGGACGTTTATAGAAATGAGTCTGAGGGGAGTCTCTGAGGAGAGGGCCTGGTGCAGGCCGTGACTCCAGGAGTTACTCAGCAGGTCAGGAGCTTGTGGTTGTGCGCATCCCGATCATCTTGTGGACACTTGCAAGGTTTAGATGTTAACATGCACCTCGCATAAACAACACAGACGCTTGCGGATGCCAGTATTTTCCTCTTGACCTTTTCCTTCCCCTCCTACTCTCGCCCTGCTGAACTTTGTGTATTTCTTTGCTTAGCAGGGACTTGTACATCCCAGGGTCTCCGGGTGCAGATGGCCACTGCACTTGTGGGCTAGTGAGGGGCCAATGCTTTGCTGCCACCACCCAGGTAGCCCTCAGCCCCCGTGCTCCCTCCCGTGCCTGCTCCCTTGTTAGGTTACAGCTTCACAGAACCAATCGTGAGGATGCTCATGCTGGGTTTCCAGAGGCACAGGACACTGGTCCACAGCAAGGCTGCTTTCTGAGGGAGTGTGTGTGTTCCCATGGCAACGGAACTTCCACCTGCATCTGCCTCAGCCAGCTCCTGGGTCACACCTTGATGGAAGGATCCACCGTGTTTGTTTCTGCTTGGTCTTTGTTAGACTCACGCCATTGTGCGCAGGGGAGAAAGACTTCCGGTGGCAACAAATACCAATGTCCCTTGCCCACGGAAGCCCACGTCATCGAGCGCATGTTGTGTTGGGGTGGGAGGTGACTTCTTGTGTGATTTACGCTTGAATTAAACCAACCAGTCTTACTCCCTTTGGCCACAGGGTAATCACCAAAGTTCTGGGTCAGCTGTGGGCTGAGCGCACTGCGTCTCATGGTCCTTCCTCCTCTAGCTCCCACGGACAGACGCAGGTGCTCACAGGGCAGGGCGTCCACCCGGCTACGGGCAGAGCCACCCTGATGACACACAGCAGCCAGATTTCCAAGTCACACGTTGCGGCCCGCATGGGCTCTGCTGTGGGCACGCAGGTCCTCCAGCTGTGCCAGAGACAGGCATGAGGCGTGGCTGACCAGCTGGCCCAGGCAGCGGCTGGAGAATGGCCATGCCCAGACCAGCCACCTCGCGAGGAGCAGGGGCCCCGCTGTTCAGCGCATGTGCGTGGCGAACTGGACGTGCACGCCCTGCTAGGAGCACACATGTGTTGCCGACTCCTCTCAGCACTGTGCGCTCAATTAGGAGAGCCGGCTCCGCCGTGGCTGGGCTGCCCCCTCGCTAACCTAATTGGTACCCGGCTGCTCCTCTCCACGGCGGTTCTCAGACCGTGAGGATGAAGGCAGGCTCCTTCTCATCCCTCTCTCCAGGACATGCTTTGAAGCCCACTGTGTTTCCTTTCTCCGTGTTTCTGAGTCAGTCCGAGGGTGATTAAATCTGCCCATGTGATGTGGTAGGGTCGCCTTGCTGAGGGCTGCGTGGAGCGGGGCGTGTGTGTGTGTGTGTGTGTGAGCTCAGCCAGCCCTGCACCGGAACGGCCACTCTCCCCGCCCCGCGCGGGCCCCGTACCTGCTGCTGGGTGACAGATGTGCACAGGAGCCTCCTTCTTTCACCCACCCACAGTAGGGGTCTCTGGAGGCGATGCAGGTTCTGTAGGAAGAGGAGGCCTGTGAGCTGCCGGGGTCCCCTCTCAGCCACGTGGACATCCTCTCCACCCGCGAGGCAACGGTACCTACTTTTTGCACTTGCCGTGTCGCTCGCACCGGCCGAGGGGCACCTTTATCACGCAGGTGGAGAAGGCAACGTACAGAGAGCTGCTTGCCTGGTCCAGCTGCATACCCATGATCCTCCGGTCCTCCACGCCGTCATAGCTGCACCTGGAGTGGCGAGGCAGGAGGGCTGTGAATGGGCTCTCTCGAGTCCATTCTCTTCATTCTGCCACCGCCTTCACACTTACCTCCCAGCCCAACAGGACACAGAGCCTTACGCACAGGTGCGCACGCGCCCATATGTGTGTCTGCAGGAATGCACGCAACTGTTGGCAAGGAGCAAACAGTGCTTGTTATGTGTTTCAAGACTTTTACAGGGGTCAGTGTTGGTGTAGCAGGTTAAGCCCGCCACCTGTGATCCAAGCATCCCATAACGGTGCTGGTTCGTGTCCTGGCTGCTCCACTTCTGATCCAGCTCCCTGCTTAATGGCCTAAGAAAAGCAGTGGAAGATGGCCCAAGTGCTTGGGCCCTGCACCCACATGAGAGATCTGGAAGAAGCTCCTGGCTCTGGCCTGGCCCAGCCCCAGCCATTGCAGCCATCTGGGGTGTGAACCAGGGGATGAAAGTCTCTCTCTCGCCATCTCACTCTCTGTGACTCTTTACAAGCAACACGAAATGGGACCTAAAGATGCATGAAAGCTAAGTCTACCATGGAGTTCTCTGACTGAAAGGGGCCTCGATGGCTCCACAAAGCATCAGCAAGACAGGAGGCAGCCCGCACTCACTTCTCAGGGTTGTAGACGCTCATCTCCTCCAGGAAGAGGCTGTCATTTAGGAAGCCGCCGGTTCCTATCCTGGCCAAGAACTTCAAGATGACTCCCTTCTCAGATCCCAGGAAAACCACAGTGTGGTTCTGGTAGGGGCCCGCGGCCGTGTCCACTGCGATCTTGGTCAGGCGGTATCTGGAGAGACAACATTCAGGTTTTAATCCCTCCAACGGCCCATCATTAGAGAGCGCCTGGGCCACTTCAGACGGTCTTGAGGCAGCTTTCAAGTGAGGGCCTCAGGGAAAATGCACCATCTGTGTAACGCGCTCAATGGCGCCGTCAGTGCGGCGCGAGGGGAGGAAGGGGGTAGGTGTGCGTGCGGAGGGAAGTTCCAGAATAAACGGCCGTCCAGAACCATCCCAAACCACTCTTCAAGGACCCCTCCCACGGGCATCCAGGAAAGCCCGGTGTCCCCCACCCCTGAGGGGGTAAGAAGTAACAGCTGAGCCCTGTCAACACTGCATTCACATCAGTGAGAGAGGCACTGGCTCCGGTCCCGGTGTTCTGTGCTGAGACACAGGGCTTGCTCGGCAGGGTGACAGACCGCAGAGTTTTCTGGGGGTAAAGGATGGGGAGGTGGGGGACCCGCGGCACGGCGCACAAACTCAAGGCCGAGCTGGTCCCGTGGGCTCTCTGCACACCCTAGGCCAGTTGCCAATGCCTCTGCTTGCAGGGACCACACCCACGTGGGCCCTCCTGTGGGTCACTGTGGGCACCATGGTGAGGCCGAGTGCCTTCACAGTACTCCAGTATCTTTCAGGGAAATCACGGCACAACAGTGGTGGTCAAGTTCAGGAGCAATGCTGCCTGCCACGACTGGACGGTACCTGGGACACCTGAGTTGTGTAGAAATAAGCTCTAAATAAATGCAGGGCACAGAATGCCTCACCCAGCAGGGAGCCACGTCCCTCCTGTCCGCCCGCAATGCACCCAGAGTGGCCTCGGAGCCAAGCGGAACAAAGTGCCCGCTTGGCACGTGTGCACCTGTCTTGTCACTGGCACTGTGGCCGTGGGGGTGTGGCGGCACCTGCCCAGCCTGCCAACATCTCCCAGGTGAACCCGTGCCCGGGCCTGCAGGGGGCGTTAGCGGCACTCACAGTGTGGGTCACTGGCAGGTTCTGTGAGCGCCCCGCACCCACCTGACCATTGTTCTCAGGAACCAGGGCCTGTGGATGATGGAGGGCACGGCCTCGTCCATGAGCGGGTGGGTCTTGATGAAGTTCAAGGTGTCGTCAGGGAACTCACTGGACGTGGCGTATTTCTCCAGGGAGGAGGAGCCTGCACAGCAGCCTGGCCTGAAACAAAGCAGGTGGGGAGGGGGGACTGACTGCACGCCGTCTGGCAAAGTCTCCCGCTGCTGGGCTTCTCTGAGCTTCTGGCATGGAGGGGAACCAGCCAGAGGCTGCCAAGAGGCCGGCAGTGAGATGTCCCTGGGCCACTGCCTGCCCAGGAGCAGCCTCCGCCAGTGCCGTTCAGCGGGCAGAGAGCACAGGGGATTTGCGTGTGAATCACGCGTTTGCTTGTTTGCGGCAGGTTTGAGAGGCCAGGAACCCGGAGCCTGCTCTCCCAAAACTGAATGGCGACTGGGACAGCGACAGCTTCCAAGGGAAACACTATGGAAGTAGGAGTGAAGGGACGTCGCAGCCGAGCCAGGTAAGGCCGACCTGTGCAGACAGGCGGGGAGACGGGGCTGGCCCGATGCTGTTTCCAGGCACCAAGGAGCCAGGCTCAGAAAGCATCGTGGTGTGCAGGAGGACGGGGCGGGCATGGGGAAGCAGGTGGGGTGCACCTGTCATGGACAGACACACACCCCAGGCGTGGGCCTGGTGACGGGGGAGCCTGACTCTCCACACCAAGAGCAGGGCGTCCCCGTGTGCTCCCCACACCCTGCTGCCTGCCTCCATAGGAGGAGGTCAGAGACCCCAGGTGTGGCTTAGAGGGTCTCTCTGAGGTGTGGACACCTGCTGTGCCAGTGAGTGAACAGGCAGGTAACTCAGGTGCCAGGGGAACCTGTCCCCAGGAGAGTGGGTCGTGTCATCCAGTGCAGTCAAAAAGGCATGTGGCAGGGTGCTGTGTTGGGGGAACTGTAGGTGGGGGAGAGAGGAGGAGAAACAGACGCTAAGGCATGGGGCTTCCTTGCGGACGCACGGGCGATCAGTGGGGGAGGCAGGTGCGCAGGTGTGGTTCTGTGCAACTGGTGGCAGACGCTGTCTGGGAGGTGCAACCTGTGGACTCCCACAGTACTCCTGACCTCTCTAGGCCCTGTGTCCCCACTGCGGGCCAGTGGGCCAGTGGGCCGGCTGCATCAGCTGCCCAACCCGCCCAGGTGACACAGGGCAAACGGCTCACACAGGGGAGAAGCAAAAGCCTACAGAGTGGTGGCTCTGAATGTACCAAAGGCCACCCTGGGCTATGTTAGAGGGATGAAGGCAGGTGTCTCTCCACGGCCTGCCCGTCCTGGCGTTTGTGTCTATGTGGATGGCACAGAAGACATTGGTGGGCAGGCCACAGGACTGTCACCATCAGAAGGGCAAGCGTCACCATGTCTGGAAGCTACCACCAACCAAATAAGCGCGCAGGTACCTGGGCTTGGGAACTCGCTCATCAGGAACCGGTGTCCAGGTGGAGTCGGGGGACTTCTGCTCCTTGAATCTCCCGGTGAAAACGTTGGCGATGTCCACCATGTCATAGGCACAGACCGCGGAGCCGGGGATGCTGGGACACGGCATGTTACACACATGGTTAGCACACACGGCTCTGCATGCAGCACCCCACTGTGAGGGGTCCTAGTGCACAGACATAGCATTTCTGCCAACCCGATGTGCACCAGGACCCTAAGGAATGGGCAGTGGCAAACTCCCAGGCACCACGGCCCGGTGACCTGCTTCAGCTCATGCAAGAAATGCGGCGGAGCTGCTGGGGACAGAGCTCATGACTTCCCCAGTGTCTGCCACCACCAGGAACCCAGAAAGACCTGCGCTGTGCAAATCGGCATCGCGGTGCCCCAGTGTGCACAGCTCCCTGTTCAAACCCAGCTCGCGGTGAGAGCGTGTGTGGCGGACAAACCCCACACACCCCATATTAGTCACTGCACCTCCACGTTTTTACATTCTGTTTATTTGCTAAGACTCAACAATTTCAGGCCCTTAGAACACCAGCAAATAATTCGTCATATTAAGAACACCAGCACTTGGCAAATAAATCGCCGTGTAAAGTGATAACAATGACCATGGTCCCCATGTGTATTCACAGCCTTGCCTGGTGTTTCTCCCATCACGGGTGGGAGCCATGGGGGATGCACATGGCTGGGCGCACTGTTTACATGTGGGCCCACATTTGGCTTTGACTTTGGTTGCTCCTGATGCTGATCAGATCAACTGCAGGCCCCGGCTGGCTTTGAGGCAGGTGCTGTGACGTGGCCTTGGGCACAGGGGAGCCGCACGAGGCCGGGCAGAACAAGCAGGCTTGGGCTGGTAAATGCTGCACGGATGTGGACATCCCTTCACAATGACTGTGAGAGTTCTATGCCGTCTGTAATTTCATAATGCGGTTCCTAAAGTCTTACTGATGAAGCAGGATTCGGGCAGAGGACGAGCGCCTGTTTCAAACGAGGTAGCTGTACAGGCTTCACGGTCTGTAGCTTCTATGTGCGTATTGTTCATTGAACTGGTATAGGATAGTGATCCTTATCTGGGAATTCTCTGACCCTAGCATTATTTATTTAATTAAAAATAATTTTATGTAACAGTTTTCATTTATTTGAAAGGCAGAGAGAGGAAGACAGGGGGTGGAGGGGTGGGTATCTTTCGTCTGCTAGTTCAATGGCTGGGGGTAGGCGTGGCTGAAGATGGGAACTCAGTCCAGGTCTCTTATGTGGGTGGCAGGGACCCAATGACCCGAGCCGTTGCAGGCTGCCTCCCGGGGTCTGCATTGGCAGGAATGCTGGCATTGGAGGCACGGCCAGGACTCGGCGCCCCAGCACTCCGACACGGGAAGCAGGCACTGTAACTGCCAGGCCAGATGCCTGTCCCTGGCAACTTAATTTTGTGAGCCCCTCTTCACGCATCTCCTTTGCTAAGAGCAGGTGTACACGCGCACCTTATACGTTAGAAACAGGACAGACCCTGCCTGGAGTATCTTAGGATACAGTGCAGTAAGGAAGATCCCCCAAGGCTTTGCACCCGTCTCAAGGTTTCGGGCTCTTGTGACACCCTTTCTTCTTCCCTACCTTCCTTCCCATTCTTTCGGTGTGCGTTTACGGGGTCCCTAACCTAAAGCATTACGTGCCCCCTGCGCAAGTGCCCTGCCCTCGCCAGCTCAGAGTCCGGCACAGAGGCCAGCGTGACAACATCAGGTTCAGGGCCATCTGCTGAAAGCAGACGGAAGGGACATCCCCAGGTCCCAGGGAGGTTACTCCAGCCGAGAGCTGGGCAGGTGCAGGGTTGCCGTGAGCAGGAAACGAATGTTCAGGCACACGGGCCTGGCAGAGGGCAGTGCGTGAGCAGGGCTCAGCTTGTTCCAGAACCGGATCTCAGAGTGTGGGGGCGGGTGAGCTGAGAAGGGGCAGGACCGGACCACAAGGGGCTGGTGCGCCACGCCTGGGGCTTGGGCTTTATTCCTTTGGGCAAAGAGCAACCCCTAAAGGACTCAAAGAATCTGCCACCGGCAAGGTAGCAGGTGCGGAGGACGGGGTGCGGCAGCATGAAGCCGAGGGAGTAATACCAGGGAAGGGGGAGGTGGGGTGTGCTTCCGCTCTGGCCAGTCCGTCACTATTTTCTGATGTTGCTGCACAATGATGGTGTCTGTGACTCCGTGTGCATCTCGGGGGCACCGAGTGCCTGTTTAGTAAGACACTCAGTGTGGCATCTGTAAGATGCAGGAAGCTACTGCTACGTCCTAATCACCAAGTACCCCATGCCCTCAAGCGCCAAAGCCCAGCTCCCTGCAGAACCAGAGCAGGTAAATGGAAGATATTGTCACAGCTGGATCGCGTCCCGTCAACCCCAATCCAGCAGGGCCTTCTTACAGGTTACTGTTAGTTTATGGACAAAACCCAATGTCAGGGTCAAGTGTCCTTCAGCTACAGACGGTGAGCAGCAGGTGTGCACACCGCGTTAGGGGAACACCCGCCCTGGGAACCGGGAGCCGGCAGGAACCGCGGAGGTCAGCCCTGGGCGGGGCGGGCTTACCTGTTGTAAGGTGTGGAGAAGGTTGCCAGGACGACGTCACGGCCGTGGATGCGGATCACGTCGGTCACGGCCTGCAGGATGTTGAAGTAGAAGTGCGAGTCGCCGGGCACGGAGCAGTTGAGGCGGGCCTTGAGGAAGGACGTCCACTGCTTCTCCAGCACCCGCTGGGAGCCACCCATGTCATTCTTGCACACCTGCGCCACGCGGGGGAACACCACCTGCAGGGGCAAGCACGCGGGCACCAGCCCGTCTTTTCCAGCTGCTTCTCCTCCCCAGCAGGCATTCGCGATCGAGAGCAGAGACGGAGGAGAGAGCGCGCGCGTCGGGACAGCCTTTGTGGAAGATAAGGCCGTGGCACTCACGCCACGCCGTGCGCCCCTCAAGTCAGCCTGCAGCCACGCACCCCGCTTGGTGCCGTGCTTCCCTGCACGGAAGCACGCTCTGTACGCACGCCTCTGCCCTCCTCCCACAGTCAGTTTGCTTTCTTCTCGCAGGCCGTGCTGCCATTTTATTTGTGCCTGCCAGGATAGTGACCTTGATCTACTTTCTGCTACGAAAAATAAAAACCCCTGCACTGCACATGTTTTTTTTTCTTCTTCCAATGGAGACAAAAATAAGACTGAGTTTGCGCAATGATACTGGGCACGTACTCTCTAAGGAGCAACCCAATTGACGAAAACAACAAAACCATTGAACTCAAACAGAAAGGAAAACTATACATGCAATCAGGAAAGGAGCCCACCGATGCCGTGCCCGGGAAGTGTGCAGCAGGACTCTGCGGGAGGCTGCCTGTGACTTCACACTGCTCAGTGCCAGCACCCACCGGGGGCCGCCGAGAGCATGGGGGTGGTGCTGCACCCCCTGGAAACGAGGGCCTTCCCGGTGCGGCTGTGGCGTCCACGCAAGGCCCTTCAGGGCACACAAGCGCACAGGCAGGCTCTGGCCGCGCTCACCTTCCCCATGCTGTTGTACTCCACGGCCATCTCTCTGAAGAAGAAGTAGATGTAGTCTCCGTGGTCCACCGCTTGCACGAAATATGGTTCTGCAGGTGAATGGGGGGCACTCAATGGGTGACACGTGACACACAGTCAAAGGGACACACGCGCCGCCCATTGCACGGGCATCAGACACTGGCTTCACACACCCAGTGCTGGCCACGCAGCAGGCCTCTGGCCTACGGGTACCTTTAGAAGTGCTGTGGTCCACAGTGGAGAGGACACGGGTGTGAGTTCCATGTCTCTTCCTACAGTGTAGTGCCCACAGCACAGGGAGCTGGGGCACATGGCCTGGGAGCCCTGACCCGCAAGGGCTGGGCATGGCTTATTTCCTGTTCCCACCGCCTCCAACCCTTGGATCCTAAGCTGAGACTGCACGGCCGGGGAGCTGAGGGCAGTGCCTGCTACTGCGGGGGTGCTGGTGGTGCTGCTGACACCCCAGAGACTCGTGGGCGGGGACAACAAGAGGGGATTCCATCAGCGGAGGCCAGAGACGCGATTCCCACCTTTCTGTCTGTCGGGAGCCATTACTGAAATGAAGCCACAGTGTGGTCTGCGTGGACCACAGAGCGGTCCCCCTCCCTCCCGCCTTTGTGCCACGCATCGTCCGTTCACCTTTCAGCCACTTGGAGTCGTGCTTCACGGTCCGCAGGGTGGGGCTGTCTCCCAGACTCCGGTAGATGACGGCGTCGATGGCCAGGAAGTCGGTCACTGTGGCCGAGTACAGCTTCCCATCTGGGAGGACACAGAGAGGGGGCGAACAGGTAGGGGAGGGCGGGCAGTGCCGACATCCTCAGCCCGCTCTCCTGCAGTGGGCAGCAGAGACCGCCCAGTGGGGAACCCTCCAGGAGTCGCTGGGCAGATCCTCGGCCCCCATGCCCGGGTGTTGCACATTGGGATCACGAGAGAGCAAACGTTTTTCATTTTTAAATTGCATGGCAATTTTCCTAAGCAGCAGTGGCGGCAGCAGCGCAGGGAACAGGTAAACGAAAGGGGTTGTTCGCTTCACTTGATTGGATGGACCTTGACTGCAAGCTCAAGGCCAAGGGCCCAGGACGCAGCTACTGCCACTGCACCTGAGCCCTGGACTGGGGGGGGGGGGGGGCAGGACACACC